AGTTTTGAGAAGCGTTTAATGAAGGTGTTTGTTGTATTTGCCCCCATCAATTATACTAATAAAACTGGTGTCTATTATTAAACTCAGTTTTTATTGTCAGCGTTTTATTGAATACGCAATTATATTTAAACTGCTGTTAAGTACATTTCAAGCTGCAGAGCGATAAACAAATGACATAAATAAGCAATATTATTCTTATAAAAGTTTTTTATCACGAAACTTGCAGTCACAATAGCGAGGACCCTCTAACAAAAACGCCCATTTAAACAAAAAATAAAACAAGAACAGATTTTTAGCTTCATTAAGTATAAATATATATGTGTGTGTAATAAAAACAAAATTTAAAAAAATATTGATGTAGGAACAATGGGTACGTAGAAACGCAGAACATACTGATGGCGAAGTATGTAGATGGCGTATTGAAGAGGAAGAATTTTGATTGCGTAGAATGCTAATTCGTAATGAATAGAAAAATTGGCAGTCGAGACAGATTAAATTCCATTTTTATTTAAATTCACATTTGTGGCGACAATTTACTCGGCACACTACCTGTGCCTATTCAAGAATATTTACATTTTTCCTATTACTGCGGTAAGAAGAAAACATAGCATAACAGCATCCAACCAGTACAGACGGTAGAAGCGAAGTAACGTCTTGACTACAGAAGATCTGAAGCTAAAAGTGCGCATTTATCCAATATGGAAGATCGCTAATTCTTTTAGTTCCTTGTGCAAGGCAGCGCGTGACGAGTTTTAAGAGAAAGCTACGCCGAAAAAGTAAAAATACAGGAGCACGCGCATTTAATAAATATATATCTCGTCATTTATATTTAAATCGAATAAATGCAATTGTGTGTTAGCTGTAACTGTGCTTCTACTCTTTTGCTTTCCAGAAATCTCGAGAAAATAGAAAGTACCAGAATGTTCTCGTGCACGATTAAAATCTTTAAAAAGCCGGAGAAAAACATCTCAGTTCAGTAGTTTTAGTGAGCTTTTGTTGTTTACTTAGCTGCCGTAAATTTTGAGATCGGATTAGCTTTCTCTGTGCTTTGAATAGTGTTCTATTTAACGCTTTAGTAGTTTAAAATGTAACTACTGTGTGATATTGTACGAATATGTGTGAGGAAAAATTTCAGTTTTTTTTTTTTTTTTTTGTGCTAAGAATAAATTTTATCAAACTTGTTCATTCAATCTATTACGAACCCGTGCGCACGCAACAATATATATAGGTAAAATAAAAAAAACTATCGAAACGATAAAATATAATTTAGATTAGCATTAACCCCTTGATGCTTAATTTCAATTTGGTACCTCGCCTCTGTATTCTAAAAATAGTAATCTTTTTCCACTGCGTCATTTCGAAGCTAATCCATGTCATATGACTCTTACATAGCACTGATGATGTAATGGAACTAACACTCAAACGGCCAATAATAAATTTATAACAGGTATTAATTATCCAATCGAATGCATTGAGAACCAAAACTAACTCATTCCGAATTAAGATTTCATCCTGAACACAACTTCGTTTGCTTTCAACCGTTCGGCCTACCTGGACTGTATGTAGTCCGCTGCTTTCTTCTTGCTGACTATCAAAAATTTAAACATTTTGAAATAGGTAAAAGTAGTGTGGCAAGCTGTTCGGGGTGGCAAAATATTTACTGAAATAAAAATGAATTTTTAATTTGCCTTGGCTGACCAGTTTGCTTTTCAATATGCATCTACTTCTACGCAATCAAAATTCTTGCTGCTCATTACGGATTCAACACTCTACGTTCAATGTTATCAAATTATAATACAAAATTACATCTAAGTTTGCTTCATTAGAATGAAAATTTGTTTTATTATACACACACACACATATATATGCATATAAGTTTAAAAAAAACCAATCCGCAAACTTTAGATAACAGTCTAAAACTTCGAAGAATTTCCTACTTCCTGGCATAATTTTCCCAATGGTTTCTTAGCTCTAGGTTTTGAAAATTTAAAAAATATTCGGATAATTTCCCCTTTTCTCAACGCGTTCAGAAAATAAGTTCCTCTAAATTTTAACCGATAGCCAACCGGGCGTGCTTCCAATTATACCCCGAAAGCACGTAAGGAAGGAGAATAGTCCTTACATTCTCCTCCCAATTAAAGGGTGACTAACTGATTTTTCAAAGCAGGAACCAAAAAAATTAACGATGCCGTCTTTTGGATTCGAACTTAGGACATTCAGATGGCTAGTCGGGCGTGTTTCCAATAACATAACTAATCACGCGCTAAGGAAGAAGAAATTCCGTATAATTTGATGAATACCAATATTCGGTTTCTCGAAGAACTTCCATTTAACAATTCTTATGAACTGCTTTCTTCGTTATGCGTACCCCATTTTTATCCCATTTTCCAAATTTCTAGTGCTATTTATAGGAAAGGTTATAATTTTATAGGAAATGAATAAATGACATGATATAGTATGTAAGTTACAAGTAAAAATATGAGTATAATTTAGTAAAAATTGCATTGTTGATTTCTACGGGTTCGTAGATTTGGAGTGATACTCAAGATACTCTCTTACTTCGCGTATAGGCAGGGTATATGTAGCTTTTGACCTGCCTTCGAGAACATTCTCCGGAAACCCGGTAAGATTTCGTTCTAGAATGTTTTCACTCCATATATGGCATATCACCCATTTTGTCGCCAAATATGGCAACCCTGCCTTTCCTTGCCACTCTAACTCCGCTTTGCGGGGAAGCTATCTTACCGAAGTTGGGCATTTCGTAAGAATATATTAAGTGCAAATACAAAGTTAATAATTTGTATTTAAACTAGAAATAAATTTGTAATTAACCTCCTTGGACCGCAATGTTTATAAATAAATTTCAGGACAAAAATTCTTATGAACTGCTTCCTTCTTTATTCGTATCCCATTTCATTTCATTCAGGACTTATGTCCTGAAGTTTCTTAGGATTCAGGACTTATGTCTTGAAATTTCTTTTATGCAAATTTCTTTGCAAACGAACTGAAGACATTTTTTTCGGGGGGGGGGGGCGGGTCGATGGCTAAATTTTAAAAATTTAGAATGAAATAACAACTAATAAACTAAGGGAACACTGTTCTGAGATCGGAGTTCATCAGGGGAAGAGCCTATCTCAGCTTTAATTTATTTTCACGCTAAAATCCAAAAATGTTTCTCTAATATGCTATTGGCTAGGAAAAATTTTAACGTGAATTTAGTAATTAAATTTGTTCTTGAAAACGCTCGCAAATCTATTCCGTACACCTTTGGATACCTACCTACACATCATCCTACAACACAGCTAAAAATCAAATTAATGGCAATAACGAAAATCCACGGGTTAAATTATCTTTCTAAAAGTGGTAAATAAGAAAGAGAAAAATTATAGGAAACGAATCCAAAAACTTTCCAAGAAAATATTCAGTATAGGGATCTATTTTATAAGGAAAATAATGAAAAAGAGTCGAATAATTTTATAGGAAATGAATCGCTATTATGTTTGCAATTGAAAAATTTTGTATATTTTATCTTTGCTGGCTGATACTTAACCAATGCAGATTCCTCATCTTTAACCGCGAGCTTCATCTGAAACGTGATTGAACTTATATGTTTGTTTGAAAGTTTAAATATAAAATTAATCATTGCTAATTATATACCGTATATTTATTAATTTGCGTTTCATGTCGTTTTATTGTTATGGTAGAATTTACCAAAAATTAAAAACTTTATTTTCTCAAAAACTCTTTTTCTGGAGTGAAGGTTTTCCTAGAAAAGTCCTTATTTCAATCCCCTCGTAAACGGTAATGAATGTCTCCGATCAGTGGCAGATCCACAGCTATCGAGTCCCGGAAGTCTCATTGGGCCCCTCCCGTCTTATTGGAAAGATCATGATGCAAAATGTCAACACAAATATCTAATTAAAATTAAACAATTAAAATAATTTGGAAAAAAATCTTAAGACTAAAGATACTCAACTTACATTATAGCAAAAAAATATATATTTAAAAAAGAATATTATTCTGCCATTTTCAATGATTTAAGGAAAATAGCTTTATTTTTTTAGCAATAAAAAAAAAAAGCTAAAACTGTTTCGTGAGAGCTGAGATTTCTGAAACATTTTTATAGCTTCATCAAAATTAATGTTTTCAACTATTGCATTTTCAAAGGAAAGGATTGCCAAACCGTCAGGTTTTACTTGGACCATTGCTGATCGAAAATATCTTTTAATCAACTCCCAGTTTTGAAAAGCATCTCAAGCAGAAACAACTCAAACACAGACTGTCCCCCCCCCCAAAGAAAAAATCTGAAAGGTTTCAGATTTTAAATTACCTCCAAATGGGCATTTTTTAAAAATTTTGTTTGATACTTTTATTTATTAAATATAACGTTCTCTGCACTTAAACCATAAAATTCAGTTCAACAGCAATATCGCAAAACAGTTTTAAAATGAGCATACCTTCAGAATTTCCTGTACAGAAACTCGCGCGCTGCAGATAAAAATGTTTTTTCTGTACAATGTTGCTATCAAACGTTGCGTTTCTGTACAACGTTGAGTTTGTTAATGAAAAATTCGTTAAAGTTTTACAAAATATGAAATCCATAATCAAACAAATTTCAAATTTGGGCTTCCACATGCCCATATTCGTGGGAGGATTACGTCATTCAGAATTCGATGGCTCTAGGTACCGTTGTTTTATCACAATGAGAGAAATAGACATACATTTATGCAGATTTTTCATTATTTAATTTCTTCAAATATAATGCAGGACTCTAAGATTTGGTGGCAACAGTTTGAAAAGTGAAACGGACATTTATAGTGAACCAACGCAAAATCGCAAAACGAAAACAATAGTCCTTCAGGGACAGTCCCTTTTTTTTATTCCCTTTGGACTAAAAAAAAAGTCTTTAGTGCCGAATATAAGTTAGGGTCTGAGTCTTGGATGTTCACTTCTACAATAAACTGTAACATTTTCAATGCAAACCGCTTTTTAGCTTCATGTTTTTTTTTTTTTTTTTTTTTTTTTAAATTTTATTTTTTATATTCCTACATAGGTACATATACTTGAAAACCTTCAGCTCTTTGGAGGCCTCCTCCGATCAGCGGCCAGGGACGGAACTCTCTCCTGCCCCCTCCCTCGATGCACCCCTGTCTTCGATAACCTGTTGTAAACATAAAATTCTTATGAAAATACGAGTACGTAAGTGGGGATATCATTAAGGTAATAAGAAACATTTAAATACCGCATATTTATTAACATCTCAAGGGCGTTATCGCATTTCAGCTCGATAAGGTATTTTCCATTGCTTGAAAACATTTACTCAAATTAGGAAAGGGGAGAAAAATTTCAGAAAGCTACAAGCCTGCGAAGAACAAAGGATGCCGACTCTTGATAAGCTCCATTGACACTACACCCACACGCAAATACAGAGCTCGCTCCACCAATGGGCGAATCGTTGTCCTCGCCTTGTGAAATTCCTTGTTATCGTTCGTATTGCCTCCCCTCCCCCGACCGAGGGTTTTTCGTTTACTGCTGACAGCTGAATCAATAGCTTACTTTTTTCTTCTTTTAGTTAGTTTGAATTTAGGTCGGTGTTTTGGGGAGTCGGTGTGAGCTTGTTTGAAAATTGGCTTTTGAGCAGTGACACTGCATTTATGGCCTGTTTAACATACGCGTCGCGTCAAGGTGAAGTCACAAAATGGTTATGTTTAATAAGATAGAAAAATTACACATTTTAATTGCTTGTTTGAGTTTTTTTGCGGAGATGACGAGACAGCCGAAAGGTGTTTAAACATGCTGGCTGTTAAACCTCGCCATTATGTATATTCATTGAAATGGTTTTTTAGACTCCTTTTTAATTCCTTGTTTTTGAGGTGATCCTCACAAATTCCTTCACATGGATCCCAGGCATTGCATCTATTATTCCGAAGTTTCGAGTGCATAAAGCTGAACTCCACGCATTAATTACTCGAAATAGTGTTCTGTCTAGTGACAAGTTACTTTCCGACTCCCTTGCTGTATTATGCCCGGCCATTCTGGGCGCATTCTTGTGAAATAAACAGAAATATAATTACGTTTTGCGGCGAATTACAAACTCTCCTTGATATACTCCTAACAAGAACACGGAGAATTAAAAATGGTCCATTTCCGAACATATTATTATCACTTAGCCAAGAATTTTTCATGATTAATAAAGCAAAATTAAAAACTCAAAAATCAGAATTTGTAGGTACGACGACAACAATTCTACAGATCACAAGAGGCCGAAAGCCTTTAATAATCTCCAACAAACTGTTTAATATACTTGTTGAATTATAATATACCTCATCAAATTCGTAAGTGATTTTGCTATTAGTGACTAATTTTTAATCCAAAGGAGCTTTGTCTCTGGAGAACTATTGTTTTCGTCTTGCGATTTCACGTCGGAACCCTATAAACGGCGTATCACTTTTCAAATTGTTGCCACCAAATACTATCGCCCTATATTATATTTGAAGAAATTAAATAATGAAGGGCCCACCAGCGGCCGAGCGGTAAAGTCGCTGAACACTGGTAGTTCGGTCCGAGGTTCGAATCCCGCGAACGGACTGGCTGCATGGGCGCTTTCGTGGTTTTCCCCATGTGTAACGTGTATACGAGCCAGTTTCCCTTAGAAAGTCCTCCACGAAGGCATCCCTCCCCTTAGGCAGATAGGCCTCGAGGCTTTGCCATAATCATACACACACACACGTAAATAATGAAGACTCTGCATAAATGTATGTATGTTTCTTGCGTTGTAATGAAACAACGGTACCTAGAGGCATCCAATTTTGAATGACGTAATCCTACTACGAATATGGGCATTTGGAAGCTCTAATTGGGAATTTGTTTTATTATCGATTTCATATTTTGTAAAACTTTAACGAATTTTCGATTAACAAACTCAAGGATTTCAAAGTGAGCTATGGCAACACTCTACGGCGTAGGAAAAAAATCTTTTTATCTCTAACGGGCGGAACTGTGTATCGGAAATTGTAAAGATATGCTCATTTTAAAATTATTTTGCGACATTGTTGTTGAACTGAATTTTATGTTTAAGTGCAAAGGACATGATATTTAATAAATAAAGGTAAGACACAAAACGTTAAAAAAAACCGCTCCTTTAGACGTAATTTAAAATCTGAAACCTTTCAGTTTCAGTTTTTTTTTTTTTTTTTTTTTTTTTTTTTTTTTTTTTTTTTTTTTTTTTGTGTGTGTGTGTGTGTGTGTGTGTGTGCGTTTCATTATGTGTCAAAATAAGCCATGACAAAACAGCCTGTTACAAAATAGCCTAAATATAACTATAAATATCTTATTTCTAGCTTCAAATCTAAAAATGTACGTAGGACCAGCAAAAATAACAAAATCAGTATTAATTAACACTCATTTTCAAGATTATTGCGATATTTTGATGTCCTTTTGCGCAAATCTTGTAAATTTTCCAGAAATTATATAATAATAATAATAATAATTTGGAAAGAAGAAGGCGCCCTGCTTGACAAGTGGTTGTGAAACATTTTTTAATTAAATCAGCATATACATGCCAATATATACAAATACGCGTACAAAATCAAATTTGAGCGGGTATGTTTTTTGTAATGCTTAATGTGCAAGACGTAATTACTGGTGTATACATACAACGCGGTCCTCATTTATATCGCCTGCGTATATTTCCATACTAAAAAAAACCGTCAAAAACTGTTCCTGGTACACAGTTCAGAAGACTGATTTAGGCCAGCGGTTGTCAACCCTTTGACTAACGCGTACTATCCAAGCAAAAATTGAAAAACTTTAGTACTACCAATACATTTTGCAATGATTATTTTTCAGTTTTTCAATAGAAATATTAAAAAAAAATTTTTGCCATTTGCACAACCTATTGGCTATTTATATTAAATCTGAACACATAAAAAATATTAAATTAAAAATTGATTACTATTTTTACTATCAAATTTTAAGTTATAATAATTTAATTCTAAAATTTAGTGCGGAATTTGGGCCTGTTTAAGAGAGATCAATTTCTTTATGTCTGTCTGGTCTTATTTAACTTAGTTTTAACCGTAAATTTGGATCCACTTTTAATTTTGTTCTGTATTTATTTTTCAAATATAACATGAAAGAAAATCCGTGTTCGCACAAATAGGTTCTGCAAAAAAGCAATAAAAATTTGATAGCTTTATTTGAAAGGTCTTTAAATTCTTTTTTCCGGTTCAGCCAAAAGTTAACAAGTGGGCTATTTTTGGAATCTTCATTAATTAATTTCTGGTTTAGAGGGTGACTCTTTTGTTGTGCCTTATTTTGGCGGGGTACCTTCATTCATATATACGCAAATGGGTTTTCTTATGACCGTCTGCCGAATAGAATTATTATTGGTATTCACAGACACATACTAGGTTCTCTTTTCCATGAAACAAGTATTCTCCATTCTCCCATTTAAAAAAAAAAAAAAAAAAAAAAAAAAAAAAAGAAAAAAGAAAAGAAAAAGAAAAAAAAGAAAGAAAGAAACAAAAAAAAAAGAAAAAGGCCACTCTATTTTCTAGTTTTTCTGCTCGATTCATAAGTGCTTGCAGAGTTATTTACATGTGAACATGTTCTAAGCATGTGGACTTCCTGTTTCAAATTTCTGCTTCTGAAGCAAACAGCGAAAAGGTTTAATCGCTAATAAACATTTAATGACCGAAAAAGGAAAAAAAAAAAAAAAAAAAGATTGGTGACGAAGCAGTGAAACCAGTATGGTAAGGTTTCATAATTTTCCAGCTGAGGCTTTTCAAAAATCGTGCCATTTCATCTATTCCCCAATTCCATTTCACATTTCAGCCTTTTCTTTCAGACTCAGCGTAAAATCCAAAAGCTCGATAGAATGTTACGTGACTTTAAAATTGGGAAAGGCAAATATGGGACATCACGTATGGTATGCACTTAATACAATTTTAAGCTAGTGCCTTTTTTTTTGGGGGGGGGTAATTATTTTTAAAGAAAACAAAGAATTCTTCCATGACGTGAAAGAAAGATAGGAATGGTGCAGCGTTCGATGTTATTGCCGCAAACACTCCCAGAAAAAAAAAAAAAAAAAAAACCTGAAGAGGCGCAAAAATTGTTGGTCCTTTAAGAAAGCTCAAATGCAAAGATGGGCTAATGAAAATCACATTATTGTTCTGGTGTTGAAAACGAAGTGTGAAACTTTACAAACCAACCTCCGTTTGAACGAAGACTGAGTTGGAAAGAAATTGAACGGCTATTCACCATTAAAATAAGTACCGATTATAAACATCTCAAGTTCTGCTTACAGATTTGTCTCGAGAAATGCGAAACCTGTTTACATCCCATTTCTACCGTAATATGAATCAAGAACCCATTTGGGCTCATACCGTATCCAAATTTAGCGTACGATTATTTAAAGCTCTTTAAAAAAACGTTCACTTAGCATCTTTAAAAATGATTCACAACTTTGCTGCCAGATTTACGAAAATAAATGCAAAAGAATTGCTGAAGTGTTGCCAGCCACACCAGAGAAAAAGTGTATGTGCCAAATCCAGGTGAAGGCCAGAAATAAATGCTGGTACCGTTTTACGTTTCCATTCATAAGAAAATTCTGCGTCTCCTTGTGAATGAGAACACATCGAGCGGCGAAGAAAACGTGAGTTTGCTCTTCCCCGTTTCAGTATTTTTTTTTATTCCCCGGGTCAGTAGTTCTTCATACCATCTCCTCTTCATCTGAAAAACAGTTTTCCTCGAATAAAGTTTTCCTTTCATTCTTACTACTGACTATTTCTTTATTTATTTTATAAACAACTAGAATTTCGCACCGCTAGACGTGCGGTTTGGCAGTATCATCTTGCAGACGATTTTCTTAGTACGGCGCTAGACGCGCGGTATGAGACAAAACCGCGACAAAAAGTTCGAATAAAATTATATGCTATAGGATGTACAGAGTTCATTATGCTTTTTAGTTTCCTTGATGTTTGCGAGTAATTTAAAAAGCGGCTTAGCTGTTAAATAATTCAGTTGGTATATGTAGTCATATATGAAAGTAAGTTTGACAACGTTATCTCATGATTCGTATAAAAATTTGCTTTTGAAAATATAGCTATAGTAATCTAGATATGATAGAATCCTTTGGACTATTTCGTGGCATGACACATTGCGTCTATAAAGTTTTAGGTTGGTTTGGTTTATGCGATTACGGCAAAACCTCGAGAGCTATCTGCCTAACGGGAGAACTTTCTAAGGGAAACACGTTACACATATAGAAAACCACGAAAACGCACACACCAAATCTTAGGACTAAGTTCGTACAAAACTCGAAGAAGAAGAAAAGAACACAGATTATAGGACACAGACATTTTTTTAAAACAAATGTTTTTTAGAC